TATATATATATACTAGTCTCTTGTCACGTGCGTTGCACGTGTATGCCCAATCATATAATACATGATTTTATAAAATAATATCAACATATTAAAATTAAGGTTTTATCAAATAATTATAAATAAAAGAATAATGTATAAATGATTAATGTGGTTCATTATACTTTTTTGTCGAGGTCAGAATGATTATATATTATCTGAGCCTATTAAATCTGAGGAGAAAGATCTTTAATATTGTAGCATTTTTTTCTACGTTCGTCACTGTTATAGTTTGTTGTACATAAGGATCAACTGTAATCGTTATGCAAGAAGAATATCGTGCTCATATTTAATTATAATGTCTGTGATGTTTACATTAAACCTGTAGTATGAATCCTATACATAAACATTTACCATTAGATCATATTATACATATTATAAGAAAAACATGTATATTGTGAAACAATCTTAAAAGCTACCTGCACATATGCGGTATGCCAGTAAGATAACGATAATATTAGCTATCTTCACTTCTTGGGGTTTTCGAATTACGGACTAATACCGATAACCTGTTAAAAGAGTACCAAACTAATTTACTTGGGTCTAATATTACAAGGAAGATAGCAAAAAATTTCAGATGAAAGTTCGTAAATGACTAACTTTAAATGTTCGTTCCAAGCAAAAACCAATATTTGCCAACAACCGATTAACTTAAGCGAAATACTAACTTCATTACCGAGTAAAACCTCCCAATGTCATATGGTGACAAGATAAATATATGCATATGATGATAGTGTGTACACTATCTTTCAACTTTTGAATAATTAAATGTCTATTAGAATAATCATCATAATAAAAGTTATAACGATACTATAGCAACAACACAAAAAAAAATCTTGAAATTAACATCACAACAAATACCTCTACTTCATAACCTTCAGATTTTGCTTGTTCTGTAGCCAAGACCAAATTCAACAATCAGTAAAATAGTTCCGTAAAGAACCAAAGTGCATTGTAATCATAAAATGCAAGCAAATCATCAAATCACTTCATTATGACTATAAGTGAAGATTGTAAGTCGATTAACTAAATACTTAAGGTGCACGCTGAATAACAACCATGTCAATTAAATTATAATCAAGTAAAATTAGCATCATTGAGTAACCAAACACATAAAATGTTATGAACTTGTTAGAAGAGAACATGGTAAGAAATCGAAACCAAAAGTAAAAAGACAAAAGGAAAATTATCATTGAATTGAAGACATATAGATAGGCGTAGGACGCGATTGATGAATACATTGGGACAAAGGAATCATGTAGTATTTTCGATGAGAGTTCACATTGAGTAAACAATACTCCTATTCAAGATTAGCAAACAATATTCGCACAAAAAAAGATATACAATTCATATGTATTGGAGAAATCAAATACTTACTGCTCTATATAGATATATAAGTGTCTAAGTCATAGGAGCAATAGATTTTTAAAGAGAACAAAACTAAAAGGTGCAACTCTTCGGGAGCGAACAACGGTTGTCGCTTACTCGATTCTGGATTCTTCTCTGGTTCTGTTAGGAATGGCTTTGTCAGCCAACAACGTTGGATTGTTCTATAGAAGCATCATATGCACGTCTAGAATAAACAACTAATTGTAGATTTGTGGTCTGCGTAGGGGTAAGGTCTGCGTACACACCACCATCCCCAGACCCCTTACTTTTGGGATTTTACTGGGTTGTTGTTGTAAATTTGTGGTCTCAAAATTAGAACTTCCATGCAGATGAAATCGGTTGGAACATCATAGTAAGGAAATCCCACATACATACTACCAACGTAAACCTGTGGCCTAAATGAAACGTGCCAATTTCAGATCTTGCTCTTTCACATCAGAATTACTCTACTTATCTTTTGAGTCTTGTATATCATAGGGATATAATTGATTTATAAGGGAATGAAACTAAAAGGTGCAACTCTTCGAGAGCGAGCAACAATTGATGTGAATTCTTTCAATCGGTGTGATTCCATTGCGTTAGGTTTTTTGGACAAGTATGATATTTTGGTTATTTATAAGAACAGTTAGGTAATTTAACTTTTAACTTTTGAGGTTCCCACTTTTATAATAACTAGTCTCTCTGAACATGCGTTCCACGTTAATATCATATCATTCTTATATGTTTGTATTGCAAAATATTGAATTTTTATCATATGCAGACTTAAGAATTTTTGTTTGATTTATAAAGGTATTTGAACACACATTAATTGCAAATTAATGTTGATTTTATAATTTTATCTATTATTTCAACTTTACTTTTAAATAGAAAATTTTGAAGCAAAAAGTTTTGTTTGATTATCTCATATGAAGTAATGTTTCACTTACAAAAGTTTAACTTCTTATTGAAGTGAAATTTATGTCAAACAAAATTTCAAATTTCTTTCAAACTTCAACTTTAACTTCAAATATTGATTTTTTAAACTTAAACCAAATATTATCTAAAAAAATAGAACCCTTAAAATTATGCATAAATTGTTAATAAATTAATTTTTCAAAATTTATGTACCAAAGAATGACTAAAAACTTTTTGTTTGGAAAGACTAAAATATTATCAATTCAAAATCAAAATTGTTCGCACTCTCCCTTCAAAGTGGAGTAAATAATTTTATGACTCTTCAAGAAACCTTTAAAGTTATTTATCAAGGCAATAAAAGTATCTTACTTCAGAAAATAAATATAGATCAAATATTTCTTCCCGAAGCTGCAATGCCTCTTCCGAATTAAAATAGTAGTGATTAGTGGATAATATTACCAATATGCTATTGTTAAACAACATCCACGTTTCTACCACCACTTGCATATTGTGAAAATATAAAAAAATATCTAAAAGTGAAGTTGTGCAAAGCATTTTAATAAGAATGTGAATGAATGTAGCAGCACTTTTGCCAATGATAGTAATTTCCCTAGACTGTGCAGATAGTGTAACGGAAATTTGATACTCAGAATATAATGCCTATTAAAGAAACTAAATTTGTATTCCTTAGTAATTTCTTCTAACATAAGAACTCAAGAAAAAAAAAGTAGAACTGAAGTATAAGATTTAAGAACGAAGAATAAATATATTCTTCAACGTTAATGAAGAATCACATAATGTGTTTTAAGAAGTAGTACTTTTCTCATATCTTTTATTTACTTCAAATGAAAGCCTCAAAATAAAAATTAATCATTCAGCATGGTTAAACAAATGTAAATATAATTCTTAAAGTAAATACAATTATAACATCCAAGTGTTGATTGCTAGTTCTGGATGCTAAAAACCAGTAGTACCCTTCAATTTACATATTAATGTCCGCATGATATCAGTTGTGCCAATACTACATATACTCATTTCTCTATAGAAGAGAGTTGTAAGTTGCATAAAGTTTGATAGTAGAGCAAATTCATACCTATCCGCAAATGAAAGAAAGAGGATACGCATAAGGAAATCCACCTCATAATTGATTCAACTATTCGTTTTGATTTTAGATTGTTACCATGACGTGTGGTTGAACAAATGTGAAGGAACACATTAGAAAACTTTATTTTATTTATCTGAAGGAAGACACCCCTTCGAATCAAGGCATCGATTAATTTTTTTTTTTTGATAAGTAGTTCTTTCCTCTTGGACAAATAATTATTAATGAATAAACACAACTATTTAGAAAAGACACAATATAGATCAATATCATTTTGGTATTTATTTATATATTTATTTATTATTGTCTAATATAAATATATATTATTAAAAGGTTATTTTAGTAATTTAACCTTTTAGTTTTGGGCTTCCCACTTTTAATATAGTATATATATATATATATATATATATATAAAATACATGTATCAAAAGAATTGCAGGTAAGCAGTTTAGTTATATATGGTGTAAAAATATGTCATACCCTTGTTCCTTTTCCCATTTCATTTAATGCTGTATTATAATTCCTATGCGGAGTGGATTCTTGTCTCATATAATTAGAGATTCAATGGTTGGGGCGAAAAAGTTATCGCCTTGCGATAAAATGTTTGCCCCCTTTCCCATTCAATAATAACCTGAAATGCTGATCCCTTTTGGAAAGGAATCCTTTGAAAACTATCACCAAAATTGCATTATCATTTACTGTTTTCTTTAACTATCTGAAATAGTAAAGGAAACAGATACACTGAGATGGACGGACTAGTGTAAGTGTTCTCTGTGTCACTTTTGTTTTCTGTACATTGAGAGGAACCAAAAGGATACAATTATATTTACTCCTTCCGTGATGTTTATTGATAGTTTGTTCCTAAAGGAGCTGAAATTGATATATGGTTGGGGTGCATTTGCTATTATTCTGCATTAAAAATTAAGAAAGCATCATGTTTGCGCTTCATTTTCTTTTGCACCCAAGGGTGTGTCCTAGTGGTCAATGAAGTTGGGGTGGGGTGGAGTGGGGGAACCTTGAGGTTCTCAGGTTTAAATCCCAACAGAGGCAAAATTCACTCTTCCCATTTGTCTAAGCCTTGGTGGACAGGGTTACCTGGTATCTGTGGAACTAGTCAAGGTGCGTGTAAGCTGGCCCGAATACCTCCATCATTTAAAAATAATAATAATTAAGAAAGCATCAAGTTGTGCATGTTGTGATGTTGATGCACATATTATAATTATTCTACGTTTTGAGTGACAGCCTACTTCAAAGTTTCTTTAATATATCACATCTTTTGGTCCTCTAATTTAGGAATGCATTTACATATGTGGTGACAGGCATTTGAGTGTTCCCTTTTAAACCCATGATGAAATAATGGATACGTATTGTTCACCGTGTTTCCATTGCCAATATTATGTTTTGTTTTGTTGTATAAGCTTGCTTTCTGGTTCCTCTTTATTTTGCAACATTTGGTACTTCTTGAGCTTTACAGTTTTTTTTTTTTTTTTTTTTTTTTTTTTTGTGACTGTACAGAGAGCAGGGAGATAGGGGACAGGCCAGGTATTGCCTTTCCAAAGCAATAACAGCAGATCCTGATGACATTAGTCTTAGGTATCACCGGGCTTCAATATACATTGAGCTTGGAGATTATCAGAAAGCTGCAGAGTCATACGAGCAAATTGCTCGTCGATGCCCTAATGATGTTGAAGTGCTTAGGACAGCTGCTCAGGTTTCTGTATCTATCCTTCCTTCAGTATCTGTCAAACTTTGCTGTCTCATTTATTTGCATATAGTTATTTTCTTGGCTAAAGCACCAAATGGTTACATGCTAAATGCCTCTTCTTCTGCTATTTTTGATCCATTCAATTAGTCGTCCTTAATATTACTGCATGGGATATCCTTTCTCTTTTATATTACTGAAGACAGCATGCTTTACTTTCATTGAGGTGAGCCCTAGTCGTATATAACGTTAAAAATGATGAATGATTGACTTTTATTTAGGGAAAAAAGAAGATATACATGAAGTAAAATTTCGTTAGGCTACATATGCTGATGTAAGTACTGTTATTTATTCCTGAAAACTTGCACAATGGAAGTAGGAAAGTAGTTTACCATGAATGTTGAGTTAGACAACACAAACTCGTGACCACATTTCTAGAAAATGCAGAACACTGCAACGGCTGACATGGAAAATATTTAGTATTACTAGACAATATAAGAACACCACCACCAAAAATGATAATAATGATGATGATGATAGTAATAATGATAACAGGATATGGCAATTTTAATCAAACTTTTGAATGCAAGGTAAAAGAGAGAAAATTTACTGTCACAAAGGTCATTTCTCTGGTTCTTAGAAGACACACCAAGGGAAAGTATGTCTGGTAGCTAATTTAAATCAATCAATCAAATATGTCTTAATTCCAAATTAGTTTTGGTCAACTATATGAATCCTCTACATTGATTTAACTGTATTCGGGCTTATTACATTCCAATATTGGTAAATAAGCTGTCTTTTCAGGCAAATTAGAAGTTCCCTAAAACAAGAGGTTTTCTAAATCTCACTCATCCCAAGATTGACATACACGTCTCCAACTAGAGTCAGAAACTTTTACGAGATGCATCCTAATTTTTTCGTGGTAACTTAAAGATTTATTAAGTATGATACAAGTGGTATACAAAAAGTGGGCAACATACACCAGCACATGGTTATTTACAAAAATGCACCCAATCATCTGTACTAAAACGAAACTGTGCCCTAAAAGTTTATATCAAAAACAAGAGATTAGTCCTAAAAAAATCAAGGATGTACTGGATCAGTCTTGTGCTTTTGTGAATTTGGCAGCACTTCCTTTGTGCTGAAGTTTATAACATTTGTTATCTTTAAAAAAAAACAAGAGATTAGTCCTAATCTGTACAAAAATATTGTCTACCGGTCTACCCCCTTAGATGCCCTCTGCCTTTTTTATGTCCACAAAGCCCACAGCATAGCCACATGAGCTACTTCTCGTGCTCGCTCCAGCCTTTTCGTCTATCTGAAGGCCCTTCTAGACCTCACATGTTAGCTGTCCTTGTCATCATCCATTGAAGAGCCGAAGGGTCCGATACTGTCCACCATAATTGGCTCGCTGACGACAATATAGCACAGGTGATTTATATCCTTTTCCAAAACCTTGCACATGCAGCACCAAGTGATGCGTGTTATCTTTTTCTTCCTGAAGTTATCTACCCTGACAATCGAACCTCTAGCTGTCAACCACGTGAAAATAACATGCCTTCTTCAGAGCTTTAGAAACCCATATGGTGAGATTGGAAAGCCATCTCTTCTCTCCGTAGACGTCTACAGTAAAAAAGAGTACACCTGAAAAATCTCCTTTCTTTTCGCTCCGTTGTCACACATCTTTCTCTTTCGGATTAGCAATCTGTACGCATAGTAGCTCTAGGATTCTTTGAAAATTGTCACCTCCGAATCTTGCAAGTTATTTCTCAAGCCCAAGCCCCAACTGTTTCCCCTTGGTGTACCCTAAAACATTAGACCTACTGTAAGTGTGAGCATTAATTCCGACTAATTAGTATCGCCTATATACCTTTGCTCCCACTGTGTTATGTTCTTATCCTCATTAACCCCAAGAGGTTGTAAATTTTTGAGACAACTTAAACCTTCATGTGATTTTATGTTTACCCCGTTGTCCTTTAGCGCCTTCAATTATTAGTATAACATTGTTCTACAGTCCAATACAAATCATCACAGACGACGTCTTGTTATTTCGCTATTTGTGTAACTTGCATATTCTATCTGATGTAATTATTTGGACCTGAATCTTTTCTATCAAATACCCTCTATTTATTGTTTCTACCAGGTTTACCTGTAGTTGAAAAGTTCCTTAGTACATCCACACATTTTTACTTTTGAAAAAGCAACTAACATCGTGTGCAAGGGATTGCACTGAGACCAGGGAAAAAAAAGAGAAATGCACTGACACTCCTATGACTCTGCCAAGAGTGAACTTAGATCTGGCAAATTGATGAGAACATGCCAAGAGTATCTTTATGTAAAAGACTGCTGACGACAGGCTTTTTGCTTTTTTGTCTCTGTGTAACTAATGCTGTATCAAATGGTACTTACTCTCTTATTCCACTATTCAGCATGGAATTAACTTGTTGTTTACTTCTCCAGTTGTACAGAAAATGTGGCGAAGCTGAGCGCTCTGTTGGTATCCTGGAAGACTACCTGAAAAATCATCCAAATGAAGCTGATTTAAGTGTGATACATCTGTTAGCTGTGATGCTCATGGAAGACAATGCATATTTAAAAGCTCTTGATCTAATTGAGTTTGCAAAGCAGAGATATTTTACTGGGAAATGGATGCCTCTTAATTTAAGTATCAAAGCTGGAATATGTCATTTACATCTTGGTCATATGGAGGAGGCAGAGGTTTGTTGGAGCTTGGTCTTAAAGTTTCTTGTTGTTTGTAGTAGTGCCATCACTCATAGTAACTGGCATGTAATGCAATGTAAAGGCTGATCAAGTGCAGTGGTTCCTCCAACAATAAGTGAAGCACAATGTTCTGATGGGTATAATAGTGGAGTATGAATTGATTTTTCTGTTTTCTACATGCTCTTGGAGTCATTGCAACTGGACTGGGTTACCAAACATTTTCTATTTTCCTATTATTGTTAACTACTGTCTATGGGTTACATGCGGGTGTTGTTGTTCAAGAGAAAAATATCTATCTGAGAATCCATTTGCTAAGGCTCCTGCATATTTTCTATAACACAAGGGAGGAAAAGCTAAATGCGATCGAGATTTGTTCAACTAAAACTTTGTACCATCAGAAATTAGAAAGCTACTTTCAGTTACTTGGGACCAAAACTAGATTTAATGGCACTAGATGGGATACTAGGTAAATTTAAAGCTTATCTTAGGGGAGAACATGCAGGATAGGAACCCAAGAACTTTGCTACAAGCTAATGAGCTAAAGTGACTCTAAAGTGGCCTGAGTGCTAGGGTAGTTTTGCGAGGTGAAGATTGAGGAACAGGAAGGCTCTGATAAAATGAGGCGCCCGGAAGTGTTTATACACCTCAAGATTGGTTAAATATTTCTTAACTATGACCTTGTACCATAGTTGGAACCCCGTAATGTCACAGGTTCTCGACTTCTTTAGTCTTTAAAGCCCAAAACTTAATCTTACCCTGAAGTGATATCCAATCTTACCTCTTCTAGATATCCTATTCTGTTATTTCTAAAAACTTTATATACTGTTTTTGTATGAATTTGAACTGAAGCTATATGCTGTTCTTACTTTGCCAAGCAATGTGCAGATTATTTTCAGTGCTCTACAACAAGAAAATGCATCTCAACATCCTGACATAGTCACTGAGGTTGCGGACTCACTTATGACCGTTGAACACTATGAATCTGCTTTGAAGTACTATATGATGCTTGAAGGAGATGGCGTCAAGAATAAAGTAAAGAAATAAAACTCCTTTTGTACTGCTTCTATGTAAATTGCTATATTTTATCCTTTCATTTGAAAGGACATGTCTAGGTATGCTCTCTTTCTTTACTATCAAGCAGACCGACCATGCTCAATTGATCTTTTATTGAGAAATACTCTTCTTGAAAATATTAACTAGTAAATTTACAGGAAATTTCATAATTGAAATGTTCTCTTTAATAGGTTGCATTATTTTCCCATGCCTGTGTGCTGTGAAAATAAACCTGAAGCAAGCTCTGTTTTCTATTAATGCATGCATATCCATCTTTTGATTTTTTTATTATCATTTGGTGGTTAATTTATTTCTATCCTTTTCAGGGCTATTTACACTTAAAAATTGCTGAGTGTTATGTGTTTTTGGGGGAAAGAGTACAAGCAATTGAGTACTTCCATAAAGGTATCTCCACATAGCACATGATATGTGTATATATATATATATGATAGTGTGCGTGTATTTTATAGCTCTGGTGTGACATAACCTACCTTCTCATTTGTGTACCTCCTGCTGAATGGGATTATTTTGTGGTAGTGACTTGCTTAGTCTGTTGATGCTTCAAATCTATGAAGTGTCTTTAGCTGATTGTTTTTTCTTTTCAGCTGTAAATGAACTTGAGGATAGTGTTGATGTTCGATTAACTTTGTCCTCGATCCTCCTTGAAGAAGGCAAAGATGATGAAGCAGTTTTTGTGCTTTCCCCTCCAAAAGCATCAGGTATAAATCATATACTTAGCATTCTATTAATTCGATGGTTGTAATCTTCTTTTAAGATCTCTGTGGTTCATTTCCAGAATCTTCAGTTGACTCAAGTTCTGATGAACCAAAATCATGGTGGCTTAATAGCAAGATAAAGCTGAAGCTTTGTCAAATTTATAGAGCTAAAGGGTCACTAGCGGCTTGTGTGGATGTTATTTTTCCTTTGATTCGTGAGACAGTGTTTCTTGAGTCTGTCCAACAAAAGGTAAGCTTACTCTTTCCATTTGACCCAAGAATGTGCTAGTTTTAGGGATGGTTTCATATAAATATTAATATTCCTATCAACGAGAGAGGGAGAGAGAGGGAGAGAGAAAGAGAGAGGGGGAAAGGGATGACGTGTTGTGGTGTGAGTGGTATCCAAATCTGAAAATTGGAGTCGACGGAATGTTGAACAACCCCAGGCGTAAAGGAAAAGAGAGTTAACTACATCAGTCAACCATAATAGTCCTTGGCCATGGCTTCCTGTACTTTGTGATGATGAAGATGAGACCCAAAGCAACAATGCTGAATTGTTTCTACATGGCTTGTAGCCAGTGATGCTTGCCTCATCCAGTTTAACTCTAGAGAAGAGGTCTCCATTTATGCAGTAGATTCTCTTTATGCTAGGAACAACCAGAGGATTTTAATCTTCTATTTTGCCACTGCAAAGTCACCACTCAAATCTGGAGTCTTTTCCTAAATATCCTGGGAATTAGTTGGTCAATGCCTAACTCAATGATAGGGTTTCTAAAATGTTGGAGGAGAAGAGGTCTCAACAAAAATGCAAGTAACATATCCTTTTAAAAAAATGCAAGTACCATTTGGAACACTATTCCACAGGCTGTATAGTGGAAAGTCTGGATTGGGAGAAACTCCAGAATTTTTGAAGGGGAAAAAGGGAACGTACATAGCCACAAATATAGGTCAATTCTTTTACTAGCTTATTGGCGTAACCTGACCTTTGTACTGGCTGTAATTATTAACATAGTAAGGGGCTTACATGATCTTTTACTATGTTTTGCTTCACTATCTTAGTGCTTCTTTCCGATAGCCATAAGCATTGGCCCTTATTCATAAACAAATATGAGCTTCAAAGAAAAGTGGAGAAAGTGGACCAAACTTTGCATATCAGTGACGAAGTTCTTTGATCTAGTTAATGGGAGCCTGTGTTCTTAGAGGTTTGAGATAGTGGATCTGATATCTTCGATGTTCTTATATACTTTAAAGGAGGTGTTGAACAAGATGCTGGACATAGTTGTATCACGAGGCTACTTGAAGGGACTTACATGCATGGCAGTGTTGAAGTATCACCTTTTTTTTTGTTTGCAAATGACAATCACCCTAGTGTTTTGCAATATAGAGGTATCTTAGATGACATATCTGCGGTAGGCGCTTATGTTGTTCCAAGCAGTATTGGCTTAAGGTTAACTTGAAAGAAGTGTGAGATTGCCCCAGAGGAGGTAGTCATCATTGGAGAACTAGCATTGTCTAGGATTGTCATTAGGAGTATCCATTTTATGTATTTTGTGGAGAGTTTGGCTAGAGAGAAACTATAGGTGTTTTGAGGGTAGGGAGGAGAATGTTACTTTTGTTAAATATAGATGGATCCTCTTTTCTAATCTTGGCATCTTCCTGATACAGATTTTGGTTCACCAAAAGTCTGTCCTATGTGAGAAGGCACGGGAGAAAATATGTTATTGATATTGGATGATAAATACAATACAAGAGGTCCCTATTTATAGCTATACACTACAAAAAGATATTACTCCTCTTCCAATGTGGAACAAGACTACACTATACATATGTGTAAACTAACACTCCCCCTCAAGCCGGTGCATACACATCATATGTACCGAGCTTGTTACACATGTAACTAATACGAGAACCAGTAAGAGACTTAGTGAAAATATCTGCTAGTTGATCATTCGACTTTACAAACTTTGTTACAATATATCCTGAAAGTATTTTTCTCTGACAAAGTGACAGTCGATCTCAATGTGTTTAGTCCTCTCATGGAACACCGGATTTGACGCAATATGAAGAACGGCTTGGTTATCACACACTAGTTCCATCTTGCTGATCTCTCCGAACTTTAACTCCTTGAGCAACTGCTTGACCCAAACTAACTCACACGTCGCCATAGCCATGGCCCTATATTCGGCTTTGGCGCTAGATCGAGCAACTACATTCTGTTTCTTGCTCTTTCACGAGACCAAATTACCTCCTACTAGAACACAATATCCAGACGTAGAACGTCTATCAAAAGGTGATCCTGCCCAATCAGCATCTGTGTACCCAACAATTTCCTCGTGGCCTCGATACTCGAATAGTAATCCTTTGTCTGGAGCTGACTTTATATACCGAAGAATGCGAACAACTGCATC